TCATAGTATTGTTCCTACTGGCTTGTCTAGCTGTCTCAAAGTATTGTTCCTACTGGCTTGTCTAGCTGTCTCATAGTATTGTTCCCACTGGCTTGTCTAGCTGTCTCATAGAATTGTTCCTACTGGCTTGTCTAGCTGTCTCATTGTATTGTTCCTACTGGCTTGTCTAGCTGTCTCATAGTATTGTTCCCACTGGCTTGTCTAGCTGTCTCATAGAATTGTTCCTACTGGCTTGTCTAGCTGTCTCATTGTATTGTTCCTACTGGCTTGTCTAGCTGTCTCATAGTATTGTTCCCACTGGCTTGTCTAGCTGTCTCATAGAATTGTTCCCACTGGCTTGTCTAGCTGTCTCATAGTATTGTTCCTACTGGCTTGTCTAGCTGTCTCATAGAATTGTTCCCACTGGCTTGTCTAGCTGTCTCATAGAATTGTTCCCACTGGCTTGTCTAGCTGTCTCATAGTATTGTTCCCACTGGCTTGTCTAGCTGTCTCATAGTATTGTTCCCACTGGCTTGTCTAGCTGTCTCATAGAATTGTTCCCACTGGCTTGTCTAGCTGTCTCATAGAATTGTTCCCTAATATTGAGGAGTAATTAATATTTGCCAGGAAATATTGTCTTTTCCAGAAAGAGCAGCAAAATCTTTCCCCCACCAGAGCACCCCCCCCCTTCCACCACCCTCTATTTCCATCCCAGGTTTGTGTAAGATTGAGAAGCCAAGAAAAGGAACCTCGTAACCTGACGTCATCTTCCACGCTATGTTTGTCCTTGACCTTGTCCACAGGGTCAGTGTTGACAGCGGTGAGGTTTGATACTGGCGAGGGAGGGAAAAGAATCATTAGGCGTACCTTGAGCCACGTCTCTGCGGATGTTTACTTGTCTATATCATTATACTGGCGTACAACAGACAGTAGCCACTGCAGTCACCAGCAACATCTATGACTTATCCCTTCTATTTGGACGTTAAAAGTCATGCTCAGCTTACGATTGACGAATTATTGTCATTATCATCATTATTATTATTATTATTATTATTATTATTATTATTATTATTATTATTATTATTATTATTATTATTATTATTATTATTATTATTATTATTATTATTATTTTTAATATATTATTGTATAGTGTCCAGAAGGAATGACCATCTAAGTTGTAAGAGTGCGAGCAAACATTAAATTCTGCTCATATTTCTCCCACTTTCGCTGAGCTGGAAAGTTATTATATGTTATTTAAAGAGGCCAACTATGATGAAGAAGAAGAAGAAGAAGAAGAAGAAGAAGAAGAAGAAGAAGAAGAAGAAGAAGAAGAAGAAGAAGAAGAAGAAGAAGAAGAAGAAGAAGAAGAAGAAGAAGAAGAAGAAGAAGAAGAAGAAGAAGAAGAAGAAGAAGAAGAAGAAGAAGAAGAAGAAGAAGAAGAAGAAGAAGAAGGAGCTGTTTTATTGGCTCGGTTCTTTACCAAAATGGGAATTAAAATTGGAAACCTTCTCCTGGCAAGTAAAATTGCAGACTTGAAAGAAGAAAGAACCCATGCTATTACAACCTTCCTTTCCGCCACAGAGCGTGAGGTCGATGAAAAAAGCCAAGGGAGTCTAAGAAACAATTAATCTCAGGCGACCGACAACACCTACAGGCTTTCCTTTTGTCACGTTATTGACGTTGTTTTAACAAAGAATGTTATGAAGCAAAAAAGATTGCTAATTTTGGTTTTTAAAAAGCCCCCCCCCCACCCCCCACGCCACAGTCACCCACCTTCTTGAACTATTTGATCAATTGCACGATATCCGGGTGAGCCTAGGGGTCACAGTGAGAAGTAGACATGTCTCTCGGGAATAGCAAACTTTCTCTGATTGTCGTTATAATAATCTTCTAAACTCTTATAAGTGACGTCACTTTCCAGGTCCTGAGCCACACAGTAGACCAGAACAAGAGAGAGTGTCCACATCAGATGCTGTCCCAGAAACGCCAGATTCTGGAAAATGTGGAGACGATCATGGAGCAGAACAAACTAGCGTCTGTACAACTGGAAGAACGCATTCTTGGCAACGTCACTGCGACTTTTGAACAAAATGAAATGAAGTTATCACAACTGGAAGAACGCATTCTTGGCAACGTCACTGCGACTTTTGAACAAAATGAACTGAAGTTATCACAACTGGAAGAACGCATTCTCGGGAACGTCACGGCGATGATTAAGGCTCTAGAAGCAGGTTTTGACCGCAAGCTGAGTGCTACAAAGACCAAGTTGCAGGTAAAAATCTCTCGTAGTCTTTGACCTCCAATATTGACGGGAAAACTTTTACTTCAAGAGTTTCCTATCCAGAAATAAAACGAACATAATTATTCCTTTATCAGTGCATGAAGGACCAGTCTCCTTTTATATTGAAAAAAGGATATTGATGTATGATTCCCAAACAAGTCTCTCTTCTCAATTCTCTCTCTCTCTCTCTCTCTCTCTCTCTCTCTCTCTCTCTCTCTCTCTCTCTCTCTCTCTCTCTCTCTAACTCTCCCCCCTTCTGAATGCGTCGTTCTCTCTCTATTTGTCTTCTATCTATCTATCTATCTATCTATCTATCTATCTATCTATCTATCTATCTATCTATCTATCTATCTATCTATCTATCTATCTATCTATCTATCTATCTATTTCTATTTAAGGGGGGGGGAGGGCTGCACCTGAAGTCTGTCTCGCTTATTACTGAACCGAATTTTACCAAATTTCACCCATATAACAAGCATAGTTAGGAGTCTTAAAATCAGCAATCAGATTTGAGAAAAAAAGTTTCGTTTCCATGGATACGGCGGCCATATTGGATTTTGTTGTCATGTCTTACGTAATGAATACCGCACTTATTTTTGCAAGCTAGTTAACAAACATTAGATTTTAAAATTTGTCTTTTTTATTTTCCTAAACGAATTAGAAAATTTTTAATGAATTTTTTCCTGAGGTAGCATTCAAATTTGCAAAAAATTAGTGAAAATCCACACTCCAGACACCCCCAACAAACATCTATTCCATATATCAAAAATTCAACAGTAAAATTTTTAGTATTACATCTTTTCTTCATTCTGTGAAAATTTCATGAAGATTGCATGAAAAATGGTGGAGGTATTCAAAAAAGTATATAGTAAGGTCGCGTTTTGAGAAAACGGCCGATAAAGAAAAATAAAGTATTGACTTTTTGAGGAAATGGTGGTGACAAACATGCCCGGTATGGAAAAAAATGCCTACAACTCAAATTCCATAATTTTGAACTGAATCGGGACTTTGAGAGTGTAGCCGCCCCCCCCCCCCCTCCCCTTTAAGAGAAAGTATTGAAGAGAGAGTACCTCAGACCATGATTTGTAAGTATAATTTTCAAATGTTCTGACCTTGAATTGAATTAGCTCCCCACAGAGTTACATGAATTACAACCTGATTGTCAACTCAGGAGAGAAATATTTTAGGCCCACTTCCCAGTCCCATGTGAGTCTGACATAGGTCCGTATTTCCCGCCACGTACTTCACTGAAGTTGTTTTGAACATGTGGGACTGAAACTGTACAGTCAATTGATAAACTAGTGGGCTGACGTAGTGAAAAACGCTTTGAAATTGACGAGGTGATAGACTGGAAAAATTAACTGAGGGATCATCATCATCATCCAGTGCCAGATCTGAGACAGACATCGGCGATCACGGTTCTCCATACATTCCTTTGCTCAGATGCTCTCAAAAAAGCTACGTTTCCCTGATCTTTCCATGTTACCCATTTATTTACGTTACCCAAGTATTTTGTTCTGGGCCTTCCCCTGCCTCACTTGCCCTCTATTTTGCCAGTGAGAGCTAGGTGTTCAAGACGCTTTTGTCTATTTATGTGTCCCAAAAACTGCATTTGTCGTTTCCTGATTGTTTTTAACATTGAGCGACCCACCTGGGCTTCATCAAGCACTACCTCATAATTCTTTTCCTTCCACGATACTCTTAACAGTCTCATAAAAAACACATTTCTGTCACTTCTATTTTATTTTCACTGTCTTTAGTGATTGTCCAGCATTCACAGCCATATAGAAGGATTGACCAAACATAGCATTTCAGAACTTTCATTTTCGTGTTCATCGAGATGTTTCTATTTTTAGGGATTGGGCTCATTTTATAGAAACTAAGCTTAGCCATTGTAATTCTCCGTCTTAATTCTATGGAACATTTGGCGTCAGATGTTATCATATATCCTAGATATTTAAACTGTTGGACTAGTTAGATCTTTTCACCTTTGCTAATGAGATTACAACTTGGCTTTGCTGCTTTTTTGGATATTACCATGCATTCTGTTTTCTTTACATTCAAAAATAATCCTTTACGTTCATTTTCTGTTACAACAGTATCTAGAAACAATTGAGGGTCCTCCTTTTCTGAGCCTGCTATCAAAACTGTGTCATCTGCATACCTGATGCTTTTAATCTTTTGTCCATTTACTTTGAGACCTGGACATTCTTCTATGTTTCTAAGGATTGTTTCACTGTACATGTTAAAGAGGTCTGGTGACATAACACATCCTTGCTTAACTTCTCGCCTGATCTCCTTATATTCATGTATTCTCCATTAATTCGTACAGCAGCGTTTTGGTTCCAGTACAAATTCCTGATAATTCTTAAATCTTTTCCATCTATGTCTAGCTTTTCCAATATTCTAAATAGCTCATCATGTCTAACTTTATCGAACGCCTTTGATAAATCTATGAAGCATAAATACAGATTTTTCTGAGCTTCAATACATCTTTCCATTAACATTGTTAAGGTGAATATAGCATTTCTGGTGCCCTTGTCAGGAACAAAGCCGAATTGCGTTTTAGATATATCTGGTCTTACACTTTTTCTCAATCTTATCATTATTACTCGCTGAGTGATAACTTGAGAAATTGCCTGCCCCACTGACGGATGTTTTTCAGCACCACTAGCGTTGTGTAACCCCAAACCAACTTCCCCTCGACATTTTCTACAGCCGTGCATCAAACTCTTTCTCAGTGGTGTTTTTTTTTCTTTCAGTCCAATACGTGTGCTGACGTCACGATTCAAGCCCCTCGGCCAGTGGTCACCCTTTCTAACGGCATGCAAGTCGTCTGTGACACTGAGACAGACAACGGAGGCTGGATCGTGGTCCAGGTGAGATAACGTTCTACTCTACCACAGACTGATACAAGAGGCGGAACATTCTGTTTGTTCTGTGACTTCCCAGACAGTATATATAATAAGTCTACGTATGGTGCAAGTATTACCTCGCTAGGGCATATGTGTCAAGACGCGGTGGAATCAGGTACTCGTCAATTTTGGGGGATTTGGAGTTATTGGTCTTACCTTAAAGCATGTTTATTTGTTTCGCTTTCTATGAAATTATACCCATCTATCTTGAATAAAAGTCAAGATATTTGCGTTAAAAGGAAGAAGGGTCGCCCGGTTTCAGTGTTAAAATTGGCAGGACAAAGTTTGACAATTTCAATAGACGGAGAGTAATTGAAAACGATAAAATTACATATTGTGTGCCTTTAATCAACCCTTTTTGTGAAATTCACAAATGGAAATGTGTTTTTATATGGACACAAAAGGTGTTGAACCCCCCAAAAAAATCCCTAAAAAATTTGATAAAAGTTGCCAAACTGGTGGGAAAGTGCCTTTTTCTTCAATTTCACTATTTTGACGAGCGCTTGATTTCACCAAGATGCCTCACATACGGTTGTATTTCTAAAAAGTTTCTGCCATTTAAGTAATCCTAAATTAGAGGATTATAGGAGCATCGCATACCCTAAACTATAGCATTGTGGTTTTAAAAATACCACCACAGGACACACTGGAATGAAGATTTGCCGTAATTTCACAACAATAAATAAAACTTTATGTGTGCCTGGAGACCAAAGGTTATACATTTTAATAACGTTGAAAAATTATAATTAATTTTTTAAAAAGAAATTAAAAGTCACATTATAATCTTTACAAGATCAAGTTTATTTCCAACAAATAGAGTGTGTTAATTAGCATATTTCATGATAACAAGCCTCACAAAGTTTCATAATGTTCTGTCATGTGTACAGAGGCGTACCTCGGCCGACGTGGACTTTTTCCGGGGCTGGGTGGACTACAAAAAAGGGTTCGGAGACCTGTCTGGAAACTTCTGGTTTGGGCTGGAGAAAATCCACCAGCTGACAAATAAGGTATTTTCCTTCCGAACATAATAATTATTTTCATTATCAATCTAATCTTATGTGACAGCACTGAGCGCCGCTGCTGTTGTCCATGCTGATGTTCTTGTCGCTGCAGACATGGCTGCTCGTTGTATTAGTTCCGTTTATTATCCTCAATATGAGTGTCACTCTTTTTTTATTGAAAGGTAGTAGTCGCAGCATACGTCCACCCACATGACTCTGTTATATCGGAGATGGACGTTAAATCAGAACCTCCTTACCTTGATACCTTACCATAATAATATTTGGAAGTTTCATTAATCCACCCTTGTAAGCAAAGTTAATCTAGTGGTGGTACGTATTGTGCGGACATAAATTCGTGGCGCAACTTATCCCTTTAACGGTTGAATCAGTGTCACCCGCCATGCTTTGCTCAGCAGTTTGTATCAGTTTGCCTTAACTAAATCACATTTTTTCACAACAATTAAGGGCCCCTAAACTCAAATTTGAACCTGTAAAATTGATGTGAAGTCCAGCCCATATCCGTCTGAGGTAAAACAGTCGGGGTGTGTGTGTGTGTTGAGATCTCGTGTATCTATCTACATGACGTATATATACGACAGCTGTGGGGTGTGTGTGTATGTTGAGATCTCGTGTAGGTGTGTGTGTGTGTGTTGAGATCTCGTGTATCTATCTACATGACGTATATATACGACAGCTGTTTCAGTTTTCCTGACGTATATATACGACAGCTGTGGGGTGTGTGTGTGTGTTGAGACCTCGTGTATCTATCTACATGACGTATACAAAAACTTTTTGTTGCTTGGAGAATCCGAGAATTACAAAATTGAGATCTCCGGATATTCAGGTAGTACAGGTGACCAAATGAAGTATCACAATGGCCAGGCGTTCACAACAAAAGACCGTGACAACGATGTAAACAGTTTTGGCAACTGTGCTAGTGCACGTCACGGAGCTTGGTGGTACAATAACAACTGCGGGTACGTGAACCTCAACGGGGCGTGGGCCTCAAAGAGGTGGGCCAAGGGCGTGTATTGGAACAGTGTAACAGGGTGGTTCAACTATGCCACCTTCAGTGAAATGAAAATAAGACCACTCGCAAAGTGATAGCTTTATGACAGCGAATACTCGGTGTTCTGATTATATACGAAGCTTGTGTGTCCATATATTATTTTGTTTAAGAGAAAGTGGGAAAAGGATAATAATACTAAACATAGATCCACACTGTATACGTATTCTTCTCACTTCCCACAGTCTGATCCCCATGCGCTTTACATATTTTCTAAAAACAGAAAATTCTGGTCTTTGCGTAGTCACGCTTGTACACACACCATGGTACACTTATGATGTTACAGATATGTATAATATGTACGTACCTCCATGAACACACACACACACACACACACACACACACACACACACACACACACACACACACACACACACATTACGTACACGCACTAAAACATACACATACCTCAACACATGCATGCACCCATCAATACGTAGTACAAACACACAAACACACACGTGCGCGAGCACACACAAACACACACAAACACACACATACAAAAATGTACGCTATTGTATTACCGTATAACTCTATCTTTTTCTTTCTTTGTCTCTGTCTCTCTCACTCTCTTTCTCTGTCTCTCTCTCTCTCTCTCTCTCTCTCTCTCTCTCTCTCTCTCTCTCTCTCTCTCTCTCTCTCTCTCTCTCTCTCTCTCACTTTCTCTCGTGGTCTTACTCTCTCTCTCTCGTGGTCTTACTCTCTCTCTCTCTCTCACACGCACACACGCACACACACACATATACACACACACACACACAGACACACACACAGATCTACTGCAACACAGTTGGTTCAGTTTGTGGAGAATGAACTTAGCCGACAATGTAAATACATTATTGTCTACTTCAACACTGTTAGCTCGGTGTGTGGAAGTGGAACTCAGTCGGCAATGTAAAGATAATAACTGTCTTTAGATATCAATATTATTCTAAATCTAATTGTTCTTTACAAAAATGTACCTTACTTCTCTTTTTGTTGTATCATTCTGACACGAATTGGTCTGTGTTTGGTAAAAGTATGTCTGTACGTTCCCTGCATGTATACAGGAGGAGCCAACTAAACAGTACAATAAACCTCAACACGTTGTCCCAAGGCTGTTGTTTGGTTATTTCTGATTCTTTTGTCTGTTTACACATACTTGTATTTTGTTCTTGGCTTGAACATCTTCTCCTCTCGGATTCTTCTGATCAACTTCTACAAGGCTACATTTAGCTGAGGAAAAATGGTGTTCAGTGTTGAAAGTTGAGAATATCATTCCACTCAAACATACAGACGGGGACTCTCGTGGCCTAGAGGTTAAGGTGTTCGCCTCTCATTCAAAGGTCTCGGGTACGAATTCGGGTAGTCACGGAACATTTTCTGCTCTAAAATTGTCTCCTTTCATCTTCTTTGCTGCTCTCTACCAATGTTTTATCGTCTGCTTTTGTCTCCACTTTCTGCCCCTACCCCCTCACCCTATTTGCCCTCTCCTCTGGGCTCCTGACTCTTTCTGTAGCCTTTCTACTGCCACTCCGTGGCTCCTTCTTTCTGCTGTCTTTCAGCCACACTCCTAATCTTCTGGTAGGAAATATCTACACCCTGCCTTCTCGGACAAGGACAATGTCGGAGGGCCCGTGTGCAAGCTGCGCACGTTAAAGATCTCTTAGTGATCTCATATCGATTAGAGTAGGCTTCGGCCGCCACCCGAGCAAAATTAAAACTTTCCTACCAATTGAAATTTTTTAATGTGTACCGCGCGCTCATCTGACTTTATGCGGTTGTGAGTGCCGTAATACACTTACCATCCCCCCCCCCCCCTTCCAAAAAAACAACAACCCAAAACAAACCAAACAAAAAACAAAAAACGAACAACAAAGAAAAAAACAACAACACAAACCATACAGACAACAAAAAGACAAGTGGCAGAACAAGCAAACTGTATGGTTGTGTAAATTCTTACAGACCACGATTTGGAACATATTTGTTGTGTCGCTTAGTAATGGAAAACTGCTTCACATATGATTACTTCATTGTAATGTTTACAGAAGATGGTTAGTCACTTCCTCATGAACAGCGTCATTGATTTAGTTGTGTGAGACAGCGCAGGGCTAACGTCATTGATTTAGTTGTGTGAGACAGCGCAGGGCTAACGTCATTGATTTAGTTGTGTGAGACAGCGCAGGGCTAACGTCATTGATTTAGTTGTGTGAGACAGCGCTTGGCTGACGTCATTGATTTAGTTGTGTGAGACAGCGCTGGGCTGACGTCACTGATTTAGTTGTGTGAGACAGCGCTTGGCTGACGTCATTGATTTAGTTGTGTGAGACAGCGCTGGGCTGACGTCATTGATTTAGTTGTGTGAGACAGCGTCATTGATTTAGTTGTGTGAGACAGCGTCATTGATTTAGTTGTGTGAGACAGCGCTGGGCGGACTTTGGGGCACCACCAGTGGCGAAGCGTCTGTATAATTAAATAATCACTGCTTCTCTTCTTAATTTTGGAACATCGTCGCAGTCAAATTCACCTATAGACGTTGGTCCCATAAATTAAACGTAAATAGACGTTCATAATACACAACATTCAAACATGTTTCATTGTCCATAAATGCCCTCTTCACTCCTTTCGAACCTTTCTGATAAGCAGTCACAAGCACTGATTATGTAGCTTACAATTTGACCGGTCGAGTCTACCCCAAAAGGCGAGGGGAACTAGCTCCTAAATAATGCCATGGCTGCTGTGAGAGCTTGCTTTTTCCGTGACTTCTTACCTCCCTATGATCAGTTCATGACCTGATCATGTTGTTTTGTTTTAGTAGAGTATTTACGGCGCTCGCAACTGCATAGGGTCATATGAGCGCCAAGAGGTGGATGTCAACAGAGAAGTCCATACAGGGACCCAGGCTTACTCTGCTCACCTTTCTAGCTTCAACAGCACAAAGTCTACAACAAGTAGAGGAAAAATGACGATAGTAAGGATTAGGAAAGAAAAAGCAGCTAGTTTTTCGTTGCAGTTCAGGCACATTAAATGAGCAAGACATTGATTTGTCAGCCCATTTATAATTCTAATGTGTATAAGAACTTGTTAATGTTCCCCCTTTGGGAATGGCATACAGACACTTCAGTCAGTAGCACTGCCCCCCCCCCCCCCCCCCCGGAGGAGAGGGGGTGGGGGGCGGATGAATTATAACACCGGCTCCTAGCCGCCAAAAGCAAAGACAGCCAAATTTAAAGAGAGACAAGAGCGGTTGCCATAACATTGCATAGTATTGGAATATTATGATTCAAGTTTATACTTTTCTTACAGAAGGAATGAAGGCGAGTATACCGCGTGGAGTAATTTATGCTAATTTTTATATTTTACCTGTGAGATAGGCCCTATAAGGATTATTTTACCGGAAGTGCAATGCTAAAACAACTCCAATTATAGTATGAAATACGAGGACTTATGAGATTTCATAGCCATTAGTTTTTTTACCAGTACAATAACTTGAAGTCTAATTAGGCTAGAGAGTTCTGCTATAATCTCTCTGGTCCTATGATAATCTATTGTGCTATTGTATTGACACCACTTCTAAACAATAAACCATAGCCCAGACAAAAATCAAACAGACGAGCAAGGAAAGACGGCAAGTTTTCACCTTTGAAAAGGAGGCTAAGTTTACCGTTTTTGATAAGAACTCGTCGATCGCCTGATGAAGTCGTGAGTGAATTCCACAAGCAGCACATTTTACGGGAGAAGGAGAAACTGGTTTTGTCTGTCATTTGGCTCTCAAGACGTAAACTGAAAGGATAAATCTAGTCCATTAACTTCTAACAATAATATCAAAGTATATTTTTTAAACCGTTGATGGTCATTCTTTCCAAAATGTGTGGGATTTACATTTTCGGATCTCGCCTGATTGGAATTCAGGAGGATTTAATCAGTGGGCTTTTTGAAACGCCGTTTGGTATTCGTGGATATCGGGCAGTATGTTTTCTCTTATCAGAGTCCTGGTTGGTTTAAAATATTGTATGAAAGCACACAATACTTTTATGAGAAAGACTTTAAAAGACATACAAAATTAATACACTGAGTGAACTAGCTGCCAAAACCTACTGTTTTCGATTATGGACCACCAAGAGATCTTTAACGTGCACAACTTTTTCGCCCTTATCCGAGTAGGCCGTGTGTTAGATCTCACATACCTGAAAACAAGGTCAAATGAAAAACTTTTTAAAAAGAATTTTTTTTCGTTGCAGTCAGGTTTCAAACCCGCGACCTTTTGAATGACAGACGAACACCATGACCTCTAGACCACGAGAGCCCACTCTGTCTGTATGTCTGTCTGTCTGTCTGTGTGTCTGTCTGTCTGTCTGTCTGTCTGTCTGTCTGTCTGTCTGTCTCTCTCTCTCTCTCTCTCTCTCTCTCTCTCTCTCTCTCTCTCTCTCTCTCTCTCTCTCTCTCTCTCTCTCTCTCTCTCTCTCTCTCTCTCTCTCTCTCTCCCAGGCCTGTCAAGAGGGGCGCACAGGGGGGGGGGGGCAGTGCCCCAGGGCCCGGGGATTTGGGGGCCCGCAAGCAAAGGGAAAAGTGAGGGGAAAAGAGAGAGAGAGAGAGAGAGAGAGAGAGAGAGAGAGAGAGAGAGAGAGAGAGAGAGAGAGAGAGAGAAAAGAGAGAGAGAGAGTACGGTACAAAGCTTTGAAATAAAATATATTTTGACTGCAAGTTGAGCTGTATATCTGACAATTTCACAGAACTTTGGTAGTAGTGCTTTCTTGGCCTCCCGGAATTGATTGGCCATTACGATCCTCTCCTTGCAGAGCATATTACAAAAGCTGAAAATTCACAAAAAGAAAAAAGGCGCCTACAAGTTCACTTTCTCCAGAAAGTCTAAAT